TATGTATTGTAAGAAGCAGTCAGTACATTGAAGTGTCAGTACATACTGTAATAGGCAGACAGTACACTGAAGTGTTAGTACATACTGTAAGAGGCAGTCAGTACACTGAAGTGTTAGTATGTATTGTAAGAAGCAGTCAGTACATTGAAGTGTCAGTACATACTGTAAGAGGCAGACAGTACACTGAAGTGTTAGTACATACTGTAAGAGGCAGACAGTACACTGAAGTGTCAGTACGTACTGTAAGAGGCAGACAGTACACTGAAGTGTCAGTACGTACTGTAAGAGGCAGACAGTACACTGAAGTGTCAGTACATACTGTAAGAGGCAGACAGTACACTGAAGTGTCAGTACGTATTGTAAGAGGCAGACAGTACACTGAAGTGTTAGTACGTATTGTTAGAGGCAGTCAGTACACTGAAGTTTTAGTACGTATTGCAAGATGCAGACAGTACACTGAAGTGTTAATACCTATTGTAAGATGCAGACAGTATGTACTGTAAGAGGAAGACAGTACACTGAAGTGTTAGTACGTATTGTAAGAGGCATCTTACAATACGTACTAACACTTCAGTGTACTGTCTGGTACTAACACTTCAGTGTACTGTCTGCCTCTTACAGTATGTACTGACACTTCAGTGTACTGTCTGCCCCTTACAGTATGTACTAACACTTCAGTGTACTGTCTTCATCTTACAGTATGTACTAACACTTCAGTATACTGTCTGCATCTTACAATAGGTATTAACACTTCAGTGTACTGTCTGCCTCTTACAATATGTACTAACACTTCAGTGTACTGTCTTCATCTTACAATACGTACTAACACTTCAGTATACTGTCTGGAAAATCACTGTTAGTATGTTATACAACTAAAGCAGCTTGAGAACACTAGTACTAACATCAATTTTCTGTTATACAACTAAAGCAGCTTGAGAACACCAGTACTTAACAGTGATTCAGAACAAAGCACCAAGCCAACACTGATATAATGAACACACACACACCACATCTAAAATTAAGGTTTTCACTCAATGTACCTTTTGGAAAACAAAACAAACTCTTCGCACTAAAACACAGGTCACATTTCATATATCGAACATACATTACATTTAGAATCAAAGTTTTTGGTCATCTTCCCACAACTTATGTTATACAGTCCAAGGTTATTTGTATACAATAAGATTAGACGGGTACTTACTGAAGAACAGCCTGAGTGATAAAGAGATCCACTTCACTAGGATAACCTTTGTTGATATGGTATTCAATCAACATGGAAGCACACCCATCACCATCTGACGAGTGGATGAAGTGATAGCGAGATTGTGCATAGTTTTTCTCTGTAAGACGTGCATTTTAAATATTAAAAAAATATTTTCTTTGTGTAAATAAATTTCTGCCACAATTCATCGCAATGCCAGAAATCTGTTACAATTCATCATGATGCCAAAAATCTGTTTTACTTTTCTGAAATATATTGAATATTAAAAAATAGCATTGCCCCTTCAAACTTCCCGATGAATACCAGCTTCAAATACGAGCTAAATAATTAAACAATAAAATTTGTATTTTTTTTTTTTATTATTTTTCATCTCTAAGATACACACTAAAGCTGGCACTAGGAGAACTGTTATATCTATAGAAAAATTGGAAGTAAAAAGTTAATTTTACATGCCTAATAATATTTCATTTAGTTATTATTGTACGGAATCCTGTAAATAAAACAAGTTCAAAGAATAACTTGTTCATTATTGTAGTGAACAACAGAACTGTGATGATCACCATGAACCTAACATGAAAATATCATGATGTTCTGTTAGTTCTGTTTTTAAATTATTTTAGATATCAGACATACAGTGTCAAAAAACTGACAAAACATTTAAATATGTGTATTGGTAGATTGAACCATTTTAAACCACTGTCAACATTAAAATATGTCAATAACATGAAGGAAAATACTGTTCGAATGGAGCATTTCTATGTTATAGACATTCTTAAATTTTATGTGAACTTGGTCACAACATCATTGTCCACTGAAGTTAACAAACTGTCTTAATTTCCACCCTATCTATCTGCACTAGTTGTCCCTAATTTAGAAGTGATAAATCAAAGTCAACTCTACCTACAATGTTGGTTCTTTTATTGATGAAAGTCTAATGAGCTATTAACCTATCAACAGTGTTAAGCCTGTGTTAATGTTGGTTTATTTCTTAATGAAAGTTTAAAAAGTTATAACATATCAACAGCGTTAAGCCTATGTGTTGATGTTAGTTTAATAAAGTTTTAACCTATCAACAGCGTTAAGCCTATGTGTTGATGTTAGTTTAATAAAGTTCTAACCTATCAACAGTGTTAAGCCTGTGTTAATGTTGGTTTATTTCTTAATGAAAGTTTAATAAAGTTCTAACCTATCAACAGTGTTAAGCCTGTGTTAATGTTGGTTAAATAAAGTACTAACCTTTCCACAGTGTTAAGCCTGTGTTGATGTTAATGAAGGTTTAAAAAAGTTCTAGCCTATCAACACAGTTAAGCCTGTGTTAATGAAGGTTTAAAAAAGTTCTAGCCTATCAACACAGTTAAGCCTGTGTGTTGATGTTAGTTTAATAAAGTTTTAACCTATCAACAATGTTAAGCCTGTGTTCATGTTAGTTTAAAAAAGTTCTAACCTATCAACAGTGTTAAGCCTGTGTTGATGTTAATGAAGGTTTAAAAAAGTTCTAGCCTATCAACAGTGTTAAGCCTGTGTTGATGTTAATGAAGGTTTAAAAAATTCTAACATATCAACATTGTTAAGCCTGTGTTGATGTTAGTTTATTTATTAATGAAAGTTTAATGAAGTATTAACCTATCAACAGTGTTAAACCTGTGTTGATGTTAATGAAGGTTAAAAAAGTTCTAGCCTATCAACAGTGTTAAGCCTGTGTGTTGATGTTAGTTTAATAAAGTACTAACCTTTCCACAATGTTAAGGCTACATGTTGATGTAGATGTGGATGGCCCCTGGGATGTGAATCCTCTCCTCCAGATGACCACCTTAAGGCTGCTGTAAGAAAACTAAATCTTTCGGGCGACTCTGGCTGCATCAAATCAAAAAGTCTTCCTAGCTTATCTAAACATCACAAATAATAAATCAAAATTGTGGAAAAAAACAACTTTCCTCACAGAAAAAATTAACCAAAGATAAAATATCAGTAACCAATACTTTCCAGTTTTGGAAAAACTGGTTTTCCACTTTTGTTTTTGTTGAACGAAGATTTCAAACGTACAACAACAAAACCATTATGAATTATATATGAATATTATGTCAGTTTAGTTTTTTTGTTGTGTTTGTTTGTAGTTATGCACGAAGCTTCACAATAGGCTATCTCTGCTCTGCCCACCACGGATATCGAAACCTGGTTTCTAGCGTTGTAAGTCCGCAGACATACCGTTGTGCCACTGAAGTGATTGTGAGGGACTACACAAACAGTTGATTCTTCCTCTAGATTTTTGTACTGAGACAAAGTAAAATAAACATATTACATTTCTTTAGAAAGATGAGATATCACTAATTTTACCAGGTAAGTCTGAGAATTGACTTAAAATGAGGACAAAAAACCTGAGGAACCCATATTACATTTCAGAACATGCTTAATAAAATGAAGGGAAAATACATATTAGAATCAAAGTGAGTTTGAGAACAAGAACTGGTGTATGTTTGAGAACCGACTTGACAAGACGAGGTCAAGACACCTGCAAGAACTTAATTAACTTTGAGAACCGACTTAACAAGACAAGGTCAAGACACCTACAAGAACTGGTGTAAATTTAAGAGCTGACTTAACAAGACAAGGCCAAGACACCTACAAGAACTGGTGTAAGACTAAGGACAGACTTGACCAACAAAATATGTACAAGAACCAAATTAAGTTTGAGAACTGAATTAATCAAATGATAAGATATCTAAAAAATTCAAATTTGAGAACTTAAAAAAAAAGTGGTTCAAGGTCAAAAAACTGTTTACAGCCCTAACAAATACAGCAATGAAGTGTTTACATCCTGAATATGTGGTTCAAGGTCAACAGATAACTTGTACAGCCTTAAATATAGCAATGAAGTCTTTACATCCTGAACAAGTGGTTCAAGGTCATTAGATAACTTATAGAGCCCTAACAAATACAGTAATGATGTGTTTACATCCCGAACATGTGGTTCAAGGTCATTATATAACTCATACAGCCTTAAATACATCAATGAAGTGTTTACATCCTGAACAATGGTTCAAGGTCATCAGATACTTGTACAACCCTAACAAATACAGCAATGAAGTCTTTACATCCTGAACAGTGGTTCAAGGTCATTAGCTACCTTGTACAACCCTAACAAATACAGCAATGAAGTGTTTACATCCTGAACATGTGGTTCAAGGTCATCAGATACCTTGTACAACCCTAACAAATACAGCAATGAAGTGTTTACATCCTGAACAGTGGTTCAAGGTCATTAGATACCTTGTACAGCCTTAACATATACATCAATGAAGTCTTTACATCATGAACAATGGTTCAAGGTCAATAGATAACTTGTACAGCCTTAACATATACAGCAATGAAGTGTTTACATCCTGAACAACGGTTCAAGGTCATTAGATACCTTGTACAGCCTTAAATACAGGAATGAGGTGTTTACATCCTGAGCAAGATAACTTGTACAGCCTCAACATATACAGGAATGAGGTGTTTACATCCTGAACAATGGTTCAAGGTCATTCAAGTTATCTTGCTCAGGATGTAAACACCTCATTCCTGTATTTAAGGCTGTACAAGTTATCTTTACAGCCTTAAATACAGGAATGAGGTGTTTACATCCTGAGCAAGATAACTTGTACAGCCTTAACATATATATTCCCAACTGATGGATGAACACACTTTATAAGGTAACTTTATATTTTCACAGAACTTTCACAGAAGTATAAATCCTACTTAGAATAGCAGGTGAGACAGATAATCCACAAGACTTTAATATGGAAATAATAACTGTGTGTTTGGAACTGAAATTCTGAACATTTTTGTGACAAGGTTAAAAATGACCACATTTAGTCCTCTTCTCCTAACACTTACAGAAGATAATAAAATCAGGAACATATATGAAATACAATATTCATTATTGTTAAAAAAACAAAACATTATTTAAAACAAAAAATGCTAATGAAAAAAAAAAGGCTGTAGATAAATGGTGACCAGAATATTTTCAGCTTTGAAAAATGTACAATTTTTATGATATGTAAATGACTTCTCTAAAGGAAAAGTATTTCCAGGTCAGTGACTGTATGTGTTTTGTAACTTGTATTATCAAAGGATTAAGTATTAATTACCTACATCAAATATATGAATTAAATACAGTATTCTTGAGCAATTAAATAATTACTCAGCTAAAAAATACACCAAAAGGTCAATATGAAACAATGCATAAATGTATGAAATCACAAAGAAAAATACTGCAAAATTTGTACATTAAACTGGATTTGTGTTTTCTGTACATTTTTTTTTAATATCAAATACCAACA